ATGTTTCTCTCAGTCTTTCCCTCTCCTTTCCACTCTCTCTAAAATCAATGGAAATATATCCTTGGGTTAAGATTAACAAAAAAAAAAAAAAAGAAGAAGAAAGAAAGTAGTCCCTTGTCTGTCTCTCGTCACCAATCATCATGAGGTCGGGACAAAGTAAACCTGCTGTTCTTAATTACATGAGAAAGAAAGAAAAAAGAAAAAGCAGAATGGTGGGAGCCAGGGCTGGGGGAGGGTGGGGAAGAATTAGTGTTTCGTTTTGTTTTTTTAATCCTCATCCGAGGATGTTTTTCATTGGTTTTAGAGAGGGAGAGACAGAAAAAAGTATTGATGTGTGAAACATTTATCAGTGGCCTCCCGTATGCTCCCCAACCTTGAACCCACAATGCCCTGACCGGGAATCAAACCCTTGACCTTTTGGTGCACAGGACAATGCTCCAACTAAGCAAGCCACACTAGCCAGGGCAAGGAGTTAGTGCTTACGGTGGACAGAGTTTCAGTTCTGGAAAATGAGTAAGTCCTGGAGATGGTGGGAATGGATGCACAACAATGTGAAGGTACTTAATGCCACTGAGTTGTGCACTGAAAAATGATTAAAAATGGCAAGTTTTATATGCATTTTGCTACAATTCAAAAGCAGCCAGCCCAGCCAGCGTGGTTCAGTGGTTGAGAATTGACCTCTGAACCAGGTCACGGTTTGATTCCAGAGCAGGCTCAGTCCCCAGCGTGGGGCCTGCAGGAGGCAGCCAATCAATGATTCTCATCGTTGATGTTTCTCTTTCCCCCACCTTCCTCTCAGAAATCAATAAAAATATATTTTAAAAAACAAAAACACGGCGAACTCCGCGCCTGCCTTGGCCGACAAAACGGGCATGTCTCTGGACAACATCATTAAGCTGAACCGGAGCCAGCGGCGGCGGGGCCGGCTCCCAGGGAGGCCGCGGTGGCGAAGAGCAGGCGCTGCACAGTGAGCTGGGTCGCAGGCCCATCCGGAACCGGGCGAACTGGCGGAGGCAGGAACCAGCCGGCGCCCTACAACCGGCCGAAACAACTTCCCGACAAGTGGCAACAGGACCTTTTCGACAGCGGCCTTGGCGGTGGCGCCGGCGCGGAGACGGGTGGGAAACTGCGGGTGTCCAACCGGGATTTCGGAGTGTCCGACGCCGACACCCAGGAACTCTTTGCTGGATGTGGGACTCCGAAGGCCGGCGGACGCCCTGAACGCTATGAAACAGTACAACGGCCCCTCGGATGGCCGCCCCGTGAACGTCCAGCTGGTCACATCCCAGCACGCAGCGCGGTGTCAACACAGCGGGGCGACTAGGAACCGAGGGTCTGGAGGCCTTGGCGGCGGCCCTCGGAGAGGAGCCCGGGCAGGCAGCCCGGGGCAGAGGCAGGGGCACCGCGCGGGAGCCGAGAGCAGCAGATCTCCGCGGAGGAGTCGGACGCCCAGCTGGATGCTTACCACGCGAGGATGGACACGAGTTACAGCACCGGCGGCTCGGTGCGTGGAGCTAGACCTAGGTGTTGTCTCCGTCTGGCCCTGTGACCAATGATGGAGTTGTTTCTTGTTTTGAAATAGGATTTAAAACTCATAAAGATTTTTCTTTTCCTTTTTTTTCTGAAACAGACCTGTTTTGTACCCAGTTATTTCTGGGATAAATTTTACCGGTTGCTGTTGTGGAGGTGGCGTTTTCACCTTTGCCATAATAAACAGAAACGTGTGTAGAAAAACACACACATATACAACAATGTACTATGTAAATATGGTGTGTTAACATACTGCACAGTATTTCTTAAATTACTCTGCTGTGGTAAGAGTATTTACTTTCACATCAGATTATTCTGTGATGTCTTTTAAACTTTTTGGAAAAATACATCATTTGTAAAGAAACCTTGATTTGGGTTCAATATAATATTAGTTTTTAAAACTATGAATGTTGTCTTTCATATATATATATTTTTACCTTGTCACACCACCGATTGAAGCAAAGCAACACAACATGCTGCCCACTTCACCCAAAAGGTGTTTTTCCTTTGCCCTTTCTTGACAGCTCAGTGGTCTTTCTTATATTTTTATGAGAAAGTGGGAGAAAATTACTTTGGAAGAAAATGGGCTTCTGTTTAAATGTTGAAATATATATATGTTGTGAGTTTAAGGAGTCTACAATTACCTGTAAGTTTTACAGAACCACCTGCTTTCAGTGATTGTAAATAAACTCTCAAAACATCCTTGAAAGGCTCCATATAGAATGTGTCAATTGACAGGAAAATTTAATAAATTAGTAATTAAATACATTTTACAATGTGGTCTCTTTAAGGGCAATTTCAGCAGTTAACTTGAAAGAGAAAAAAAAAGTGTACATAGGTAACATCACTTGCAATGAAATAAAGCTGGTTGTGCTCACACACACACACACAAAAAATAACATATGTATACGGCAAGCTCTTAGAGGACCCTCTAAGAAAATCACCAAAAATATATATAATGAAAAAAGTCAATAAAAAGACTAAAATGCTACACTAGAAAATACTCTAGTATTTTGGCTGCAAAAAAAAGAAAAAGAAAAACAAAACACCAGGAGGCATAAAAGATAAAAAAGACACATAACAGAAAACACAGTGAAATGGCTGAGGACAGCCCAAGCATATCAGTAACATAAATGCAAACTGGCTCCCAGCCCCGCTGAGAGGGTGCCTTCCTGGAAGAGGGAGCAGGTGTGCAAAGGTCCTGGGGTTTGGGATGACCTGGGTGCTACTAAGGCAAGAGAAGCAGAGCCTCCCATCCCCTCCTGCCTCCACTCTAGCTTGTTGCATAGGGCGTGGCTGACACCAGTGGCTCTGTGGGGAGCTGGGCTGGCCTGGAGGAAAGTCTCCAAGGAAGCTGAGAATCTCCCCAGCCATTTCCACAATCCTGGGAGAAGAGCCAATGAAACTCCACCCCAAGGAGGGGTGTCCCTTCCTGTCCCCAAGGGAATACATCATTTGGGGACTCGGGATGTGTTCCTTAGGGTGTGGCACGGGCTCCTGAGAGCAGCCTACTGGCTGGAAATCCCTGTTTGCACAATGCCCTTAGCCGGAGACCTAAAATTAAAAAATTTATTTTGCCAATTAATTTCACTAATAAAAGGAGCGAAAGTTTATTAGCTGTGATGACCACGGTGTGATCCTGTTCCTTCCTGCTGCTTCTGTAAACCTTGGTGGCAGCAGCTCCAGAGGGAACAGGGAAGGCTACCACCCAGAGGGGTTTTGGAGATCACAGTGAAGGTTCCTGGGCTGAGCCACTCAACTGTGTGGGGGAGGGTTATGGCTGTTCTGTTAATTAGTTTATCTCAAGCCTGGCACATTGGAGGCATCAAACCATTCTGGATGACTCTGTTTTTTATATTTTAAAATCTTGTCTGTGATCTTTAAAATGACAAAATAATGGCCCCCAATGACATACTTTGAGACCATGTCAGACTCCTGATCTCTAAACTGTGAAAGAATAAACATTGTTGTTTTAAGCCAGTTTGTGGTGATGGCTCAGTGGCTACAGGAGAGCCACACACCCAGAACAACTGGTCACAGCTCTTCCCCAGGGGCCAGACTCCTGTGACCCAGGACCTGTCCCCACCTCTCCAAGAGGCCAGACCAGCCTCCGAAAAGGGAGTCCAGCCTGCAAGCTCTGACTCACCTCCCTTCTCAGGGTTGCAAATGGGAGCTTCATTGAATGTCAAAGTCCTGAGCATCTGGGATGAGGGACAGTCAAGAAAATGTAGTCCAAAATATCGGAGCCTGGAAGGACTTTGCAGGCCAGGCCTATATGTGTCCAACAGGAGGGGGTAGCCCTTGTGGGATATCAGATCCCATTCCAACTTCCTGGCCCCAGGGCTCTCAGCTCCCCTTAGCCTCCTACCCACTCTCCCACTCATCTCTAGGATCCATGTGGACTTGGCCCAAGGGCTGGGAGCAAGCTGCCCTACTCCCTGGCCCAGCCCTGCCTCTTGGGCCCTAATAAGTGTCCCAGCCAGCATGCTTCATCCCAGGGCCCTGACTGAATGCCCCAATGCCCACATCACCCATGTCAACAGCCCAATTTGTGCAAAGGCTGAGTGTCCTTCCCAAGGGCACAGTCCAGGTATCACTCCCAGAGGGACTGGGGAGGTCTGGCCAATCCCCAGCCAGATCTGTCTGTATGCCTTTTCCTTGGCACCCAGCGAGTGGCTATGAATTCCAGAACCTCATGCTGGCACTGCAGCTCTCACCGGGCCCCAGCCTAAACATCCTAAAACCCACATCTGCCAGAACCCAAAGACTCCTAGACCCACCAAGGTTGGGGCCAGGCCCTGCCCTGAAGCAGGCCTCAAGTCACTGCAAGACCACGGAGGAGCCAGGGTAGATGCGGGTTCTCCTGTGGGCGGGGTTCTGCAGGGAGGGAACAAATGACACAACATGGGTTCTAATCCAAACGCACTTCTCTTTATTCAAACCAGGGTCAAACTGGTCAGTGGGGACGCCCTGAAGCCACATGCGCGGGAAGTAGGCTGACAAGACCTCCTGGTCCTTGATGCAGTTGGACGCGGGGTGGTTGCCAGCCGAGCCAGGCGGGTGCAGCCCCCACGGTGCACTTGCAGACACCGCCAGGCAGATCAATCGACAAAAGCAAGGAATAAACAAAAACGAAACACACTCAGTAGACTGCTTTTTTAAGCTCCAGAGTTTCTGGACCAATGAGTCCCAACCCTCAAAGCCAGGAGTACGGGGACCAAAAATGCCCCTCACTTCCACCAGTGCCGACAGAAACCCTGTTTTAAATTAAAAAATAAGCCAGTATACATTGTAGAAAATTTCTCTTAAAAATCTCACAATTTGTAAATGTATATTTTTTTCTTTAACATAAAAGTTTACAATCTACGGTAAAACAAAAGGCTCAGGAAAATAATTTCAAAAAAAAAAAAAAAAAAGGAAGAAAAAGAAACCTGAAGTTTTGAATTAAAGCTGAAGACTTTTTAAAACCCTGTTGTTGAACCAGTGACTTTTTTTTTATTGTGCTGATGGGTTAGAGAAAGAAATATATTTAAAAACTTCAGTTCAGACACCCACAGCCGCCTCCAAAAGCCTCACGTCTGCCCCTCCCCCCAAGGTTGAATCGCGGTTTTTCTGCCAAGTTTGTGATTGTCACGAGTTCACAAGTTTCGAATCCTGGGTCTCAGCCATCTAGCCGCCTGCGTGGCACCAGCTAGCTAGCGTCGGTAGGGGTGGAATCCTTGAACATTGTGGTTCTGACCTCGTCCGAAGCCACTTCCACCAGCAGGGGGGCCCCCGGAGCCTGGCACTGAGGGGCCCCCATAGGAGGGGGGCTGCTGGCTGGGGTCTGAGAAACCCTGCCCAAAGCCGGCCAAGTCCTGTCCATAACCTGCGGCGAAAGAGTGCAATGAGTGGCCGGGGGAGCTGGTCCCACCAACAGGACCCAGGGTCCCGCTCCCACCTGACATCACTGGGCCCCCAGGAGCACGTGTCTCCAGAAAAAGCCCACCCTCAAACCCTAGCAGGACCCTGTCTCCGCACAGAAATAAAAGAGTCTGTGAGACCTTGTGGACCCACGGTCTGTCCTGTCTGATTCTGACCAACCCTCACTTGTCCCCAAAGACTTAGGGCAGGAGCCCTGGTGGCAGAGCTGAGGGTCAGGAGAGACCCTTGGGCTTGGAGACACATATCAATCACCTGGACCAGCTCCGCGGACCTTGGGTTCCTAGAAAGTCTGTTTTCAAGTACAATGCAGGGTGAGCTCAGGCATGACTTTCAGGATTGAAGGAAACATCTAATCTGCCCTAGCCTCCCTCCAGATGCACCTCAGGCCCCAGACGGTCCTCCCTCCAGAGTTGACCCAACCTGGAGGCTTCCATACATGGGAGTGGGCAGGGACTACATGCGGACCATTAGGCTTCAATGACTCTAGTTGGCTGCACCTGCAGAGCCCATCTGAGTGGGGCAGGTCCCTCTCTAAAAAGGACCCTGACCCTGCACTACTGGCCTTGGTGGGTATGAAGACACTTCTGGAATGAGGGGCAGCACTGTCCTCGCTCCCTGCCCACCCGGACCACACACTTTGGATGAAGGCCATCCCAGGGCCCCCGGATTCCCAATTGGGGACACACTCGGAGGCAGAGCTCCTGGGCTGTGTCCCAGAGGGCAGTGTGGTTCCACCCCGCCCGGGACAGCAGAGGAGGCAACGTCCGGTGCCCGGGTGCAGGCAGGTGAGGACCGTGCATGAGGAGGCGCCACCTACCTAGGCCATATCACTGCTCAGCCTGACCATAAGAGTGTAAACAAAGTATGGGCCCGAAGCCCGCCGGGTCTTGAGAATAGGTACCCAGGCCTGGCGAGAGACGAGACCAGGGTGACTACCCCAGGGTGGTAGGGAGGGGACACACTCGAGATCATGTACACCCCCACCCAGGGCCGCTCACATGTCTGTCGCCAACACGTCCTGTTCCAGGCAGGGTCGAGAACCCATGTACTCAGTGACCACAGCCCTGCAAGGCCCCGAAGGGAACAAGAGTGTACAATGCAGGGGTGCTGGGGGGCATCTGGTCAGCTGGCGGGACTGCATTAGAGGGTAAGAGTGGACCGACTTGTAGATATTGTGGTCTTGGATGACACACAGTTCACACCATAACATGGAAAACCAGGGGCTGAAACTCTCACAGGAGACCTGAAGGCCCTGGCCCCTCATGGCAGGCAGGGGACTGACCCCAGTGTGGGGAGAGACCCAAGGCCACACCCTGTCCTCACAAGAGTTCCCCCACTCAGCTGTCACCTTGCAGACCCGATTCAGAAGCACCTACTCCACGACTAGCCCCTCAAGTGAAGCACAAAGCCAACGCCAAAGCCAGTACCTGCCCCAGACCAGAGCAAGACCACCCAGCTGACACTCTTGCCTGCGCTCTGCACTCGGATAACCGAGGCACCGAAGGGACAGGCCTGCAGGGTATGTCCTCAGCCAAACAGCAATTGCAGCCCTTGCACCATCCTCTTAGGGGCCCAGTTATAGCCTGTTTTCCAAACCCATAGGCCCGGGATCACCTGCTGTGCAATCCATGCTTTTCTATGATTAGCGCCCTGGCAAAAACCCAAGCAACCAAAATCCCACTTGATGCTTGCTTGATCCTAGGTCACGTGAACTCTCCAACAACTCCCACACCTCAGACCACCCGACCCAGAAAACACTGGTGGGAAATCCGCCTGTGAGGGAGGAAGTCAGGGGGAGGCATGGCCACTCACCATACTGACTGTAGGGGAAGTCTGGCTGTGCCGTTGGGGGCTTGCTCATATCCGGGGCAGCCTGAGAGGGAGGCGGCGGGAAGGCCAGAGGTGCTGCCCCAGGAGTGGCAGGTGGAGGGGGGACCCCTGGTGGCGCAAACTGATCTGGCGGTGGAGGTGGAGGCCCATAGCCAAAACCTGCAAACAGGACAGAAAAACAGACACCATGCTTACCCACGGCCCAGACACCAGGAGCCTTCACAGGATTTCGATCTGAAACACATGTGCGGCCAGGCCCTGAGGATGAAGGGTAAGAGACCGGCATGAAAACTGTGGGCAGTTGGGATAGCGGGAGCTGAAGCAGGCCCAGGAACTAGGTGCCTGTGGTAGGTGCTGGCTGGTAATTCACTGCTCGGGAATGCTCATTAGAAGGACAGAAGTCAACCCTCCAACACAGTCCAACCCATGTGCTTTGAGAAGACAAAAGACACACCCAATCCATGTTTCATCCTCAGGCTGCAGATGAAGTTTCTATCCACCTCTTGTCCTGTTAAAGCAGACACACCTTTTCTCTGAAGAGCCACAAGGCAATGTCATCCATCATGAGGCCCTGCTCCAGGCCACAGAACTGAATTGCCCAGTCCTCGGCCACGGACCACTTGTAGTCACTGAGCCTACCAATGTGGTCCACACTGCCCCAAGAATGACACACCTGGACCCCAAGGACTTATTAGTAAAAAGACTGTAGGACCCTTTATGTTGGTGAAATGGTATGTGGCCATCTGAGTTATGTGAGGGGTTCCTCCTTACTATGGAACCCAGCTCCTAGAGAGGGGGAGAGAGTATTGATGTGAGAAACATCAATCAGTTTTCGTCTGAATGCAACCCAACCAGGCATCAAATCCCTAACCCAGGTATGTGTTCTAACCGGGAATCGAACCAGCTGCCTTTCGGTGCACAGGATGACAATCCACCAAGCCGCTCCAGCCAGGCTAGGCTGTGCCCTTTTGTTCTGAGGCTACTGAGGTCAGAGGAGAACCCTAACCTTCCCAGTGAGTTGGATGCTCGACACTCAGATCTTCAACCACAAAGTAAAGCACAGAGGAAAATGAATCAAGACCTGAAGCCCCTCAATTGTGAATCACAGCGATTAGGTCGAGAGGCCCGTTCGAGGCATGGCCATGAGGAAGAACAAGGTATTCGTGCTGTTACAACTCGAGCGGCTGGCCCATAAGGAGGCCGAAGTCAACAAATATGGAGTCCACAAGGCCAGCCCATCCTTTTCCTCCAGGCAGAGGAACCACGACAGGCTTCCGACTACACCCCCAGTGCGAGCTCTAGGCAGTCTATAAAAGGTGTGCTGAAAAGACCACCCATGGCCCCAGGACTTACTGAATTGTGGGGGGGCGCCGTAGCCCTGTGGGAAGCCCTGTGGAGGAGGGAACCCTCCAGGAGGAGTAGACACAATGTAAGAGGTGAATGGCGGGGGTGGGGGGGGAGCTCCTCTTCCCGCAGGGGGCGGTCCGTAGCCACCTGGAACACAGGATACAGGGTGAGGGAGAGCATGGCACACACTACCCCCACCTGCCCAGACCCAGGCCTGCCAGGGGCCCACTGCACTTCAGATTTTGTCATCTCCCCGTTTCCCGAACAAAGACTTACCAATTGCCTGTCCTGCTGGCACCCACATTCCTAAATCAGAAAACAAAGATGGGGATTGGTGCTGTGTTAGGCCAATGTCACCAACTGGACACCAAGCACCGCCCTGCCCTCCTACTCTCATAGCACGATTGCCATCACTGGTGGAACTCTCCTGGAGCCCCTCTCGACATGCCCTGTGATCCCAAGAACACCAGGTGTTGCTGTCCATGTCCTCTTCCACAGGGGAGGATTCAGAGAAAAGCCACTGGGTCAATGGCCCTGGCTCTTAAACAGAACCGTCAAAAGGGATGGAGGGAACGCCCACAGATCAGACTCAGGTGCAGGTGTGGCATCTCAGGCCTGACTACCGGCCAAGCATGGGTCCTTCACCTGCTGGTGGATGAGTGTCTGGAATTAGTTTACTGGAGGTGTTTCATTTTGCAATAGATGGAGGTTTTAAAAACGACAGCTCTGGAGAGCAGGGATAAAGCCTTGACCTGTGTGGACAGCTCTGCAATATCAGGGGCGTTGGAGGCCCTGGGTACAGACAGGCCCACTTGGCTTTCATCCGCTCCTCTCTGGACGCTGCTGCTTATTTGGGTTCCAACAAGGATGGAGGTTCCCAGATCCCATCCCAGGGCCCCCCTCTCCAACCATCCTGCCAGGCTGTCCTTAACCACTCTCTGCACCCCACACAGAGGACCCAACAGCCCAGCTGATGCCAGCCTAAAACCTGGAGAACAGAAAAGACCCAAAGAACCAAAGAAGCAGGACTCTCCTAGCCAGGCAAAAACCTCACTTGCTCACCCTCAGAGTCTCAAAACCCACCAGGTTATCCTGACCTGTCGGTGAAAGAACCTAAGTAAACCACCCCAGACCGCAAGGGCAAGGATGCTCACTGCAGCCCTGCTGGCCCAAACCCCAAACATGGACTTGGCCGGGGCCCAAACATACCACCAAGGACCACACCACTCTTGAGAGGGACCTGGTGACAAGGCGGAACCCAGGGCCCCGTTGAGTAGGGAGCCCCACCTCTGCACTAAGTCTGGAAAAGTGGGTGCAGTAGCTTGTCCCGGGAAGAATCTTACCTTGTGGGCCATATCCTTGCTGCCACGTAGGAGGGGGCTGGCCTGCCCAGCCATTGGCAGCACTGGGCATGACGCGGCTCCCCCACTGGCTGGCCCCTGGCTGTCCAGGCACTTGACTTTTACTGTCGCGAGGCTCAGCCCGTTTAACCTCCACCTAGACAAACCGAGGTCTGGTTCAGGGGGACGCACGGATCCCAGGCCCCTTCCCTTCAGACACACCCTCAGGTAACTTATGACTACACTTAGCATCTTATTATAACTTAAAACTAAATACTTAACTATATACCTTATTTAGGCCAGTAGCTTTTTCTTTAAAAAGATTTTTTTTTCTGTTTTAATTATTATATTTAAAAAATGTTTCTCAGGTACAACAGATGTGACTGTGACATGCTAAGCCCTATGTGCTGCAGAGCAGGGACCCTTGAGCATTTTATGCACGACAAGGGTCTCTCAGTCAAGGTAAAAGAGCAGTGTCCTCTTTCAACAGCCTCATAAACCCGGGACAGAGACCAGGGCCATCCCAATAATCACAGCCCTGGGAGCACTGAGTGGCAGGAGCCCGCCCCTGGCCGCATCATGGTGGTGGGGGATCTCTTCGGAGCCCACCCACCCTGCCTGCACCTTCAGCTCATACCTGAGAAACACAGTTGGTTTACTTAGGTTTTTAATTTAAAATGTCTAAAGGAAGATAAAGACTTACCTTCCCCAGGCTAACGCTTAAAAAATCTCAATTAACTCAAAATAATGTCAGAGGGAATGGATATGATAAAGAGCCTTACATTACATCTAACAAAAAGTAAACAAACATGCAATAAAATGGACATTTGGATCAGTAAGCAATCTTCATACTGTGTTGGGTCAGCAGCCCAGGACTCTTCCTCTTTGGACATGTCAGGAGCCACAGCCAGGGGAGACGTCAGCATAGCAGGAAGTAGTGATTACCCCACTTATGCTGCTCATTGGCAAAAAGATGCCCCACTTCCAGAGTTGTCTCAGCATTTGAGAATCCTGGATTTTTTCTTTTTGGATAAACTTTAATAAGCGGGACAACAGATCCACATAGAGTCATCCTTGGGGTCTTAGTCTGGTGAGCTAAATAACCATTAGGTACCAGAATTCTGTCAGTGCTCCCTGAAAACAGAGGCACAAAAGACCCCTCCCCCCTTCCTGATGCCTCAAGGCCACTCCTCTGATGGGAATGAAGTTCCCTTAGCTAAAGGCAACTGGGCAGCAGAACCAAGGGAGAGTCAAAGAGCTGAAGCTAAAGGATCTTCACACATTCTCCTTAAGGAAATTTGGCTCTTGCTTACAAAGAAAAGCAGCCCCTGTAATTAAAAAAGGCCCTTTACTCTCTTCCTATGGGAGCGCAAAAGTCACTCTATTCTGATTTTAATTAAAGTGGGACGGGAGCCTGTTAGTCGGAAATCCCCACTGAAGAACTGGTGGGGATTAGTGAAGGTGCTGAGACAGAAGCCAGACTCCCGCCGGCAAGAGAAACCCTCTTAGTGTCAGCTCTGAGCAGTCCAGACCCAGATACCCTGCATCCCACAGCAGGTGGCTGGCAGCCTGGAGCAGGGACAGGTCGTGCACTCAGCAGACCTTTCTGCTCCTGAAGCCGCACCTCATTTCTTCCGAGTTTTGAACGTCACAGGACCTTCAACTATTGAATGTGGACTCCTCTGATCTTGTGTTCTTAACTGGTGTGTATCCTTGAAGTCCTCATGATGGCTTAAACTAAAAGCTTCATTGAGTTTCGGAGTGAGGTATGTGTCTCCCACTTAGTTGGGTTCAAATGGGATTAACCCTGCAGGGAAACCTGGTTCCCTGGTTCCCTGGTTCAACGGCTGCCCTGTTGAACATCAGGGAGCAGACTACCTGGGCAGACCCCAGTGCCATGCTTCCTCCAGTATCTCAATCGGAAGGGCTGGGCATGCTGACCAGAATGAGGAGAAACTGGGAACACACACCCGGGACTGCCGCCGGGGTGCGCTGAGCAGGCTTTACAAGGACCCAAACAGGGATCCTACCAAAACGTGGGCCCAGACTTTGCTGACTATAAGGAACCCCACACGACAGCATTTCTGCCAGTTACTCATTTTACTGTTAAGTTCTCCAAAAGCTCGAAGGGCCCAGGCAAATGAGTAGTTACGGGCCACTTTCTGACAGTACCTCCATGGTGGCAACACAGTATGAAGATGAAACAACCAGAGGTCACTTGACTGCATGGAGTTAAGTACTATCGAGAGCATGTGGTTGGTACCGGAGTTTCACAGTAAGTGACCCAATTAAAACAACCAATCCTTCAGGATGTTTACATTTCTTTCAGTTTTACATGAAACCTGTTCTCAAAGGTTGGCTGCCCATCGCGGGGTGGATGAACAATTGGAATACAGTTCAGACATCTGAAGGAGTGGTCACTGGAACCAAGCCTGAGGCAACCCGCAATGTCACTGGAGGCCCACCGCCCACCACCCAAGTCTCCAGAGGCCCAGATCCCACCTCACAGTCGAGGGTCCCAGCACCTCTCACCCGGACCTCTTCTATGAAGGAATTTTTGTTTCCAGTGACATCCCTCAGTTGCCTGAGACTTGGTTTGGTCTTAAGGTAAAATAAAACTACAACTACACACTTTTTTGCCCATGATGTCGTGAAAATGCATGTTGACAGCCTGGTCCACTGATTGTTCGTCCTCGAAAGTAATAAATCCAAAACCTAGCCAACGACGAAGAGTGAATCAAGGTAGCAGGGTGTTGTGACACAAAACAGGATGATGAACAGTATTAGGGACGGGCCGAAGGATCAACCCAGGGCTTCAGCGAAGCAAGTGAGGGAGGGGGCTGCAGGCCTATCCAGCAAGTGAGTGAGGCAGGGGGACCCGCCGGACGCCTGGGCCCAGCTCAAGCTGGGGTTCCAATTGGACACTTTGGAACAACCAGGGCACCTCTTAGGGAGCAGCAGCCTGAACAGCCCAACAGCAAGGGCCATGAAACATTGCAGGGTATGCCCTGTTGTTGCTAGAACGTTCTGTGGAAGACAAGTACAAGGCAGGGAGCAGTGGAGCACTCCGCCTCAGTCGCAGGTGTCCTGTGGATGCACTGTTGCTTCGCTGAAACCCAGGGTTCTCCCCCTCGGCTTGCAATGTGCTTTGCAGCTAGTGCTGACAGCAGCCATATATTGTCCTAGGCGTTAACAGTACGGTCTATACCACAGTTAGTGCCTCGCTAGGCTTATCCAACACTGTTGGGTAAGCCCAAGGAGTCCTGTCAAGGTCACATACGTATGTATACAGGTATCTATCTGCACACATCTATGTAATAAAATACACAAAGATACAGGCCACAGCGGGTTCCAGCAGGTCAACTCTGCTGTCAGCAGCAAGAGCAAGAGGCACCATGTCATCAAAGAAAAATTTAAACAGAAAATAATTTAGCATTTTCCAAATGCAAGGAAGTGGCAGTATAAACGAAGTTTGGTTGGTCTGGGTGAGCGTGGCCACCCGGCTAACGTGGCGTGTCTGGTCCTCAGTCTGTTGCCCTTGCTCCCGGGGCCCATCAGCTGTGAGCACAAAAGGACACGTGGCAGACAGCTGCCAGGAGATCCCAAAGGACAAAAGATGGGCGAGGGGAAGTGCCAAAGCCAAGAAGGGGCTGAAGATGGGCGTGGGGAAGGGGCACAGGGACAGTGTTCTGTGGCAGAGGCGTGGAGCTAGGGGCAGGCCTGTGCTGGAGACCACCTGGGAAGATCACAGGCAAAATGGCAGTGGGAGGATGGAAACAGAGAAGGCAGCTCAGAAAGTCAGGTGACAGACTAGCAGGGAGGGACAGCTGGGATGCAGGAGCCTTTGGTCTTGTTCTCTCTGCACATGCATGCACACAGAATCTACATGTGGCGTGAGAGAAGAAACGGAACCATGACAGCAAAATTGGAGAGGAGACAAAGCTGGTGGGAGGGTGGAGAGCAGGAGAAAGGGAAGAGGAGCAAAGATAGAAGCAGGACTGAGTGGGCCAGAGGTCAGGGGTTGCCATCTGGCAGATACACGCAGAACCCCTGAGACAGGGACCTGTCTTAAACCAACAGGAGAGGGTGGGGGGATGACTTTGAGGGAGCTTCTGGAGAGTAAGGTCGGAAAGAGCTATTTCTGGGACACCTGCTGACCAGCTGCTTCTCTGGGTGGTGCTCCTACCCTCTGCTTGCCTAGCGCTCGCGGAAGCTCACGGGGATTCGCAGAGACCTACAAAGCCAGGTGGCTGAGGACGGTGTGCACCACAGGGGAACGCAGGACCAAGCCCAAAGTTTTCTCCCCACCATCCTGTCCTGCTTGCACCTCCCGCCCTGGGCCCAGGGTGAGGACCGCAGGTGGCCTGGGAGAGGGTGAGTGACCTGGGGAATCTAAAAGCAGCCTCGGGATCCCCATGTCCTGAGGCTTCACAAGATCAGAGGCAATGGTGAAACACAGCACGGGTGATAAACGCATATTACAAGGTAACATTTTCTCAGAGTGCAGGAGTATCTGAAACCACAGGGTTCGCGAGGTCCATTAGGGCACAAGAGGCGGTGACTCGTGGGTAAGGAGCCTGGGGCGGGACGTCTAGGGACGCGTCTGTGTCAAGAGGCGACATCACCACTGAGGAAGCGGCACAGAAACACACTGAAACTTCGTTTACACCCCACTGGAGCAAAGCCCGCTCCCTCCTCTGACTGCAGGATGGCCTGTACCTGTGTGATATAATTTAGCACCTGGAGAAGAGAAATCTAAAGAGAGATCGTTAATCACAAAAATTCACAGAGAGAAAGGAAAACAACTTACTTAATATTATTACTATATTTACTATGAAACACTTAATATGTCACTAAGCATGTACGTCTATGTTAAAATTAAGACTATGACTTAACAGCTTAATCAACATGAAGGGAGGAGACATTACTTAATCATGGAGTAAGAGGATGGAAGTTCAAATGGCAAACTATTCTCCAGCATGGCGGGCGCATGCTGCGGACGGCAGCCCAGCGCTCTAGGGGTCTCCGCAGGGCAGGGGCTGTAGGGCCTGGACCGGCAGATCAGCTCCTGGCCAGGGCCCAAAGCAGCTGATGAAACAAAACAAATGGGCAGGGACAAAGAGCAGCAGCCACACAAAAAACAAACAAACAAAAAAAGTAAAACCACCAAACCCAAAAGGGCATGGATGTCATTTGCCGGCTGGCCCAGGCCAGACGTGCAAGGGTGGGCTGCCCTGGAGGGGATGTGCCCTTCCTCCCGCCAGCCCCACTGACTGAGGAGAAAAATAAGAAAAACAGGAAAAAAGCATGAGGTGAATAAGGGAAACTCCACATTCAAGCTGAGCTGTAGCAGATCTGGCCTGACAACGTGAAATGAGACTTCTGACTACACTGGCATGAGCTGAAGGCAGGAGACAAACTACACTGGCATGAACTGAAGGCAAGAGACAGTCTTAACTGAAGAAGGTCACAATGGAAAAGGACACAAGTCTTTCAGTGCACATTAAAGAACAGAAACCATGTTCAAATTCATGTCAAATTGTAAAAACTTTAAAAGAATGAGCCAAAAAAAAAAAAAAAAAAAGACAGTAATGTCTGACCTTGGGGAGCACAGACAAGCTGGGGGCTGCACAGGAAGAGCCTATGTTTTAATCATTTGTCTCCAAACCACCCTTTACTGAGGCAATGCTTGCTACAACCACCACCTAATTGTGAGATAGTTTGCCATCTGAGGGGGAAGGTCAAGGACAAACTCCATCTCTTTTACCTCGAGGCCTCTGCTTTTCTGCGTCGTAGATCATGACCACTTCTGTGACCTGCAAGAGAAAATGGCTGTTTGAGGACCTGGATGCCACATGCCTATGAGCACCTCTGGCTAGAACATAAGTCCCAAGCCAAATGCCTGCTGGGAAGTCTCCAGTCTTGGGAGTCTTGAGGCAAAAGGCTGCCTTCCAGAAGATGATGTCCAAGACTCATGAGGCCAGAGGCCCAGGCCACCACTCCATAGGGGAGGTGACAGCCAGGAGACTCATAGGGCATCCTCCTCATTCAAAACGCTAGGATGGAATGACCCAGAGCACTGTGCTTCAGGACCTCCCTTGGTCAGTGGCCTGGTTGTCCTGCTGATCCAGCCCTCACTGCCCTCCCCCCACCTCCACTACACTCAATAAGTGTGTCCCTCATCATGTGCTCTGGCATTCCTAAACCCAGGCCACTCAGCCCTCGCACACTCAACACCTGACAAACACAATACAGCAGCAGGCGGGGCCACACCACTGACAGGGCATTTGAGCAACAGGGGCCTGTGCAATGGCCCCATGCACACTTGCACCCTAGCCCAGTTTTTTTCCTCTGCTGGCCCCATTAGAACTAAGTTTCCTATATGACCCTGATTAACTCTAACCCCCATGAGATTCTAAAGGATTTTAACCTCTTCCAGAAAACAGGATCATCCCTGGGGGAAGGTCTGTATCATAGAGGCAACAATGAGCAGGACACAGAGCCAAACATATCCTGTGAAGCCTGGCAGCCTGGAGGACAGTGAGAACTGCCAGAGGAAGCAATACGGTTGGGCTACGGTTGGGCCACGGTCCCCCATATAGTGAGGTCCACGCTGCTGGTACAAGAACCTGGGAATGGTCTCTACTCTGGAACTCCGCCACCAGGCCAGGCCTGCCCTTGGCTGCAGCTATCAGGGGTGGGCACCATGTTTCGGATCCTGGGCAGGAGGAGCTAGCTAGAGGTCCCAGGTGAACCTGACCTGGAACACACCTTCCTGCCATTGAGGGACAGAAGGCTGGCTTCTCCCCAACACTCCCTAGTGCAGTAGTTCTCAACCTGTGGTCTCGACCATTGGAAAACACATATAGCACATCAGATATTTACATTACGATTCATAACAGTAGCAAAATTACAGTTATGAAGTAGCAACAAAATAATTTTATGGTTGGGGGTCACCACAACATGAGGAAGTGTATTAAAGGGTCGCGGCATTAGAAAAGCCTCCTGGACGCCGGCCTGGCCAGCTTACATCTGCCTGGAAAAGACGTGACTACTCTCCTGGATGGTAAATGGCCATGAAGGGGAAGGATGGGTTCTGGTTGTTCTGTTCTGGGGGCGTATGGGGCAAGAGGACAGAGCCACCATACCCACTCCAACTAGGCCAAGTTGAGCAGCTGCTGCCTGGGTGCTGCCGGTGCGGGAACAACTCACCACTCCAAATTTCTTGAAGTATTCCCTGAGCTCTGTCTCACCACAATTGTGAGGAATTCCACCAACAAATATCTTATTTGATTTACTGTTATCGTTCCTGGGTCCTTTCTGCTGTGTCAAGAAAGAAAAGTTGGTTAGACCATGTAGGGAGCCCTCAGCACGAGCCCCAGGGTTGTAAGTTAAGTGTCTGCATGGGTTTGAGAGCCGCTAAAGCCACCGAATACTCTGAAAGTCCCAGGGGGTCCAAAGAGAACCAAGAACAGCATTTTCCCAGAGACCCAAGGAGACCAAGTCCAGCACTGTGGTGGCGCTATTTCAAATGCATTTTCAAGTAGACTGTAGTACTCTGTTCAAAGATTCTGAACTACAACAGTTACCGAACTTAAAGGTCTACACTGTGAAACAAAGGATTTCAGGAGAGTAAGGAAACTACCTAGGGCCTCCATAATTAATTTCAGATGGTGATTTTCAATTTGTTGACCAAAACTTCAGCTCCTGCCCTGAAATGCTGCTCCTCCCAACCCCCTCCACGTCTAACACCCCCAAGGAGCTTATGGGTTAAGTCGTTCCAACTGCTCTTGATTAGCAATTTTGGGGATGAGTGAGGGTTCCCCAGGTATTATGGCCTGTGCTTATTCTGTCTTAATAAAGTTGCCAAGAGACTAAAGGACCGTTAATAAGCAAATACAATCTGAACCCTGATTGGAGTTCAGTCTGAAAAGCTGTGAAGGTCATTTGTGAGACAGTCATAGAAATATGAGCTGGCAGTGTGGACATGGGTGACATCTTAGGCATCTTAGTTGTGGGGATGGGGATTCTGTGGGAGGCTGGACTTCTAGAAAATTCATGCTCCAGAATTTAGGAGTGGTTTATGCAGACAGAGATGAATATTAATATAGATAACTGGAAAATTATAAAAACTGATTAATCTAGTTTTCTGTAACTTGAATACTTTTCTAATAGAAATCTGGAAAAATAAAAATGGTTTCAAGGGTCTGAGGCCCCTACCAGCAGCAGCTGGAATCCTGCTAGAAATGCAGATCTCAAGCCTCCACTTAGATCAGACAGGTGTGTGTGGAGCCTGTGTGCAGCTTCTCAACAGCCTCCAGCCCAGTTCTGTTCAGTAGGGCTTTCTATGGGGACGGAAGCGTTCTGAGTGACAGTCTTCTCTGAGAACTGCTGGGTGGTGGAAGGGAAGATGTGGGCAGTAAGCGACAAAAGACAGGTCTGTTCCAGCTGACCCAGCACCAGGGGCCACACACAGCTCAGAAAATCTCCAGGAGTCATTACACTGGCTGTTCAAGTGACCAGCCACCAGCTTTGTGTCTGGAGGGGAGCGGCTGCAGAGCTGGGAGGTGAAAATCTCAGAGTTAAGGATGACCAGGTCACCAAGTAAGAGAGGAGTGAGGGAGTGGGAAAAGAAATTTCTCTCGGCCCTTTTGGGCAGGCTGAGAGTAATTGGGGCAGATAAAAGCAGACGGCTCCAATGATAAACAAGTGTGAGCTGTCATTTTTTTTTTAAGGTAGACTAATAAAAATTATCTTCTTGGCTACAAGATTAAAAAAATTTAAAGTGCTGAATAAATCTGAGCAATTCTCAGCTGGTCAAGTGTCAAAGATGACCTTCAGTCACTCCTAATCTTTATGAGCAAAAATTCCAATCAAAGACACGTTTGTCTAACCATGATGCTGTACATCTGAAACTAATATGGAATAATACTGAATGTAAACTGTAATTGGAAACAAAGAAACAAAAATAAAAAGAACAACAGCAAAGGCACATGTGATCTTTAAACTGGCTGTTGAACATGCAAGGTTGCCCACCCAGCCCCTTACCCAGCCTTCTTTTGGCCGCGTCCTCTCTGGCTGCATTCCCCGAGGTGTACATGGCTTTGGGTCGATCTGTAGGAAGTTTCAAATGAGCCAGTTGTAAATATGAGGATCTTTTCTCTAGAAAAGAAGGTGTCAACAACAGCAGCCAATAGCACAGCACACTAGCACTTGCAATCAATTCACACCATGTCCATATCCATACCCTACTCCAACCTCCAGTCTGAATACAAAGCCTTAACCTTTTTTTAAAATATATTTTTATTGATTAGAGAGAGGGGGAGAGAGAGAGATAGAAACATCAATGATGAAAGAGAATTATTGATTAGTCCGCAGGCCATGCCCCACACTGGGGATCAAGACCACAACCGGGGCAGGTGCCCTTGACTGGAATCGAATCTGGGACCCTTTAGTCCGCAGGCCGACACCCTATCCACTGAGCAAAACCAGCTAGGCCCAGAGCCTTAGTCCTTTTTATTTTTTTTTTATTTTTAAATATTTTTAAAATATATTTTTATTATTTCAGAGAGGAAGGGAGAGGGAGAGAGAAACATCAATGATGAGAGAAAATCATTGATCGGCTGCCTCCCGCACACCCCCCACTGGGGATTGAGCCCACAACCCAGGCATGTGCCCTTGACTGGAATCGAACGTTGGACCCTTCAGTCCACAGAGCCAAACTGGCTAGGGTAAGCCTTAGTCCTTTTAGATCAACCCCACAGGAAAGAGTCTTTAACATAAACATCCACAAAAGCTCAGGTAATCCAGTGAGCTGAAGGATAAGTGACAGAGAAAGGGGCGAGGATCTCAGCTGCAGCAGGACTTACATTTCGACCATCCAGTGTGTGTGGTCTGCTGGCCAGCACTGTGCCCACACAGTTCGGGTCCTTAAACTTGACAAACCCGAAGCCTCGAGACTGGTTGGTTGTCTTATCTTTCATGATCACACAGTCCACAACTTCTCCATACTGGGAGAAGTAGCTGCGAAGAGTCTCTGCTCAGAGATCAGGACAGAAACAGACACACACACCAGAGCGTTAAGCACAGCATGACAGCTGGCATGCAAATATACACACGCACACACACGTGCAAGTGCTGCTCTTTTAATTCACTAGCCTAACCTGGAAAGTAATTAGCCACTTTTTTTTTCAAATCTCATTTTTATTTTATTATTTTTAAAATCTTTATTGTTGAAAGTATTACACATGTTCCCTTTTCCCCCCATTGACCCCTTCTAGGCCGCCCCCTACAACTAGCAACTTTTAAAATACATATATATTTTTATCGATTTCAGAGAGGGAGGGGGAGAGAGAAACATCAATGATGACGGAGAATCATTGATCAGCTGACTCCTGCACACCCCCATAGGTTGAACCTGCAACCGGGATACGTGTCCTGACCAGGAATCACACTGTGACCTCACGGTTCATAGGCCAATGCTCAACCACTGAGCCACACTGGCTGGGCCAACTAGCAACTTTTAAACTGACTCATCAACTAGTTTGGGGGCAGAGGAGGAGGACAAAGGATAGAAAACACATGAGGAAGAATGGGGACTCCACATGGTGGAGTACATCATGTCTTCTTATAAACTAGAAATGCTGCAACTGAGCATGGTTTTGGCAAAGGCATTCAGTAAAGTGAAGTTTAAGAGAAGGCAGAACAACTTCGAAGGCCACTTGACAACCAGCTTCTTCCTGCTACATCTGAACTCAGTGACCACTGGGCAAAGGCCTAGCCACCACACTCTGCACACTAACAGTCCTCCTACCTCCAGAACCTACCTCGGCCTTGAACTAGGAAGCTGCAGTTTAATTTCTCTCTCAATTCTGCTGTGAAACATCAGGACGATATCAACCTTTTCAAAGCCAATATTGCATTCCCTCTGCCCCCTGCTAATGCCCAATCTAATGCCCTTTTACCCCAGAAATCAAAACAATAAATCAATGAAGAATTAAAGAAACCTGAGGTAGTAGTAAGAGACGAATTCACAACACAACTTGAAGACCAAGGTCAGCCTGCCTGCAACGCCTGGCATTCAGCCATGGCACCTACCTTGGGTGGTGCTCCAGTCAAGACCGCCCACGAAGAGCTTCCTGCAATTCAACAAGAAAACATTTAGGGTCAAATGGTTCTTGCCTTAAAGATGCTGCCCATCTGACCCATCCCAAGACAGTAATCCACACCACAGGAGTTCACACAAACATGCTGAGTTGTCACGGTCATAGCCACGGTCAACAGCCACGGCTATCACCTGGCCTCACTGATTACAGATATGAAAAATGATTCTAAGACTTGCCAACATGGCAGGGTGAGTGTTATAATGTAGTAAAGACAATATATCCAGAATTGTACATGCACATGGACCACAACCACAGCAAGTCCCTCCTCTAACACTCTTGAAATTATTTATTTGCAATCAAGATCTGAGATCACAGAGGACAAACCAGAATGACAGCAAGGGTAGGGCAAAGCCTCAGACACCCACCATGTGCTCATGAGCCAGGACCCACAAATCATTAGAAAGATCCCCAGAGCTCCAGACCCAGCACTGGAGCCCTAGCCCGTATTCCCCCACTCCAGGGTGGCCTGGGTTGTACTTTCAAACAGTCACACTAGAACTTTCAGGAGGAACCCCACACTATCTCTGCAGCCTTATGTCTGCACAGCCCTCAGCGGGTTCAGAAATCAGAGCCCCCCTACTACCCTCAGGGAGGGCCCCACACCGCTAGGACTCAACAAGGGAGGGCTGTGGTAGGGCCTGCCTTTTCCACCTCTCACACAGCCCTCCAACTGGCTGGACCTGGAGTGAACCAAGGTGCTGCAGCTGTTCCAGCTTTCACAAGGGACTATGCTCACCTCCCGCACCCTCAGCATCCCTCTGTATCATTCTAGCCTCCCAAAGCCCTGGAGACAGGTATGACAGAGGAGGCAGGGAGAGAGGGCTCCAGCAGCAGTGGTGGCAGCTCTCCACCCTTCTTGTTTCACCCAGGAAAAGGGGACACTACCACTTTCATCCTCGGAGCTGGACCTAAACACTAACTGGCGGGTCTTCAGATGCTGGCAGGTGGCCCAGGCTCAGTTCCTGCCTGAGACACAGGACCCTGCAAGGCTGATAACACTACTGCCTCCTGAGCAACTACGAGAACCATCAGACAGGGAGCTTTGCCCTCCACCTAATAGAACCCTCAAGGTAACAGGCACACCTGTCACCTCTGCTCCATCTGGTGACTCAAGTCTCAGTGTGCCAGCCACTGGCAAAATGCCTGTGACAGCAGGACTATCAGGGGCTTCTTCCAATCTGCCTTTCCTCTAAAGAAGAACAATTTATATTTAGTGTGTGAAAAACAATTTCCCACAACCAGACAGGGGCCCACTACCATCCTCAAAATGCCAACAAATAGGCCACCACCGGTCGCTAGTTGGGGAAGGCTGGAAGGGAACTCAGGATGCATCTGGCCGTAGCTATACTTCCAGCACCTTAGAAAGGGAGCTTGGTAAAAACAGGTTTCAGGGAACATGCTGACCAAGCCGTAGCGAGGCTCACGTTTAGACCTCATTAACTTAAAACCATGTCGCAGGCCACCTGCCTTCCAACCATTAGGGGGGCGGGGGAGTGCCTCCATCTGTGCCCCACTCCCCAAGGGCTGTCCAGGCGCTGCCCAAAGCAAGCTGTGACTCAGGCCCAGCCTCACTCAGTATGCCCAACCCCTTGAGGCCTGGAACCCAGTAGTGGCACAGGGCCTCGAATGACAAGGGCCAGAGGTTGGCTAGCACTGCTAAGTAACTGCCTGTTTGCCCAGTCCTTTGGAACAAGAACAACGAAAGGTTTGCTGTGGAAAAGCAGCTTCATGCAGGAAAGAGATCTCAAGAATTAAAAAAATAAAATAAAAATAAAACAAAACCCAATTCACTTAGAGAACACCAGCTTCTATTTACCATTGCATCCACCAAAACAGTAAAGTAATAAACTGTTGCCCATCCAAGAACCCCAACCTCCACCGCCCACCCGTAGAGGAGGAACCCGCCAGACCAGTCCAGGCTCCAGCCTTCACTTAAATTTCAAAATTAGGCATTAAGGGGGAAAAACCAGAAATGCCATCACCCACACAACTGACAGAACTGGCATCTGCTCTGTGGATGGATAATAACATGACATCAATACTGTGCTTTCCAATTTTATCACTGTGCTGTGTACATTTAAGAGAATATCTCTGTTCTTAAAAATGAAACACATGGACAGGTCTACACAAAGGGGCATCACGGTACCACTTCCTTTTGAATACTTCATGAAAGATGAACAGAGGAACCAATGGGGCAGAATGTTAGCCCCTGGAGAGTCTGGCTGGAAAAAGAATATTGGGAACTTTTGTTACTAATCTGTAACCATTCTGTAAATCTGAAGTTATAAGATTACAAATTAGGAAATTCTCATTATTGAGTCAATGCCAGGATTTAGAAACAACCATCCCGTTTCGTCACGTAGGTTATCTGAGACACTCAGCCAGAAGTGCCTCTTATATGACCATCAGCTTACACAGAGGGAAGAACACGCCAAGCCTCCAGGTGGGGCAGTGCTGTGCTGCACACTTTGAGTGTTTCCACTTCCTTTCCTCCTGCTCTGAGGGCACACTCTCGTGGTCTGCACACGGAAGCTTCAGAAGGTCCTGGGAGGCCAGCTGACTGTGTGACAGGGACCTTCCAGAGCTCCAGCACAAAGCCCCAACCTCTGAGCCTCAGTTTTTGTAACCAATAAAATAAAAAGGGCCCTGGGTGCACACCTCACAGGGCAAGTGAGAAACAAGTTCCCCCCAGGATGAGCCAGACAGAGCTCCCTGCTGCCCAGGCAGCATGACCATCCCTCGTCAACACTGAAATGAAGCCTGGCACCAGTGGGAACCCTGTTCAACCCACCGGCGGCCCAGGGCAGCCCACACACACTCACTTGGCACCATGTGAATCTCAGGAGTAGACGGGCATGTACACATGGGACTCTGCAGATTAAGGGATTAGCCAACCATGCCGGCTCCCCTTCTCCAGCCCTGAAGAGTATTATTACTCAGCTGAAACTGGATGTCAGGGCCCCATAGACTACCTGCACTCCCCAAACCCAAGTGCAAACTTACTGGCTCTATCAGGCCCTCCCAGGAGAACAAAAGTCTGGTTCCCAAGAGGGAAACAGACACCACCACCAGCTGGGGGATCTGAGAGAGGTTGTCTATGATCAGCACATTGGCTCAGAGGGCCTATACCTCAAGAGGGGGCCGGTGACTTCCTCCTGGAAGAGGCTCTGCACAAGTGACGGAGGACCAGGCTCCAGTTGATATTCCCCTTGAATGTTTTTGGATGACTACCCTGCTTTTGCTCTGTGGACTTCAGGGCAACTTTGTAGTTTTTACACCAGGAAGTCAGTCTTCTGGCTCCCCCTGGCTGGGACCGACCACTGTGGGCTCTGCCCTGGAAGCATATTGGTAGGCTTCGGAAAGTTCCATCCCGCTTAGTAAGAAAGCCACCCATAGGCAGCAGGGGGCAGAGGCAGAGGGCCTGGACTAGTCAGTTGTGGGGCAAATGGCCACTTCTTCTTAGAGAGCATCCAACCCAGAGCCTATGTTTGCACCTTTCTGGTCTCTAGTGGGGACACATCAGGACTTCTTAAGTCTGTCCTAGTTTCCTTGGAGGAGGCAGGCAGCCCCAGCCCATAGGCCTCACTCCAAAGCCCACCCTATGCCAGCCCCTGCCCTCTACACTCAGGCTTCCTTCCTGCCAGCAGGGAAGAGCACCCCCTCCCAGATGACTATGGGGGCTGTGTGACACAAGAAAACCCCAGGACTAACTGTGCCGGACAGGAGGAGCCCCTCCACTGCCCTATTCCAACAGGACCAATGTCCTCCCCAAATCATGACCTCTCTGAAGCAAACCAAACAATGACTCTCCCACATCATTGGGCCATCAGCACAAACAGGCGTTTACAAGTATAATCCACAGCTCCTGGTCCCCACCCTCCGAGGCCCCAACCCAGGGGTATCCTGCTTCCAGCGTCTCTCCAACAAAATATTCCAGAAGGACCAGGAAGGACTCAAGCACTCCGCCTTGGGACCACTCCACCTGCCATCTCTTAGCCAGTGCCAGGCTGCAGGCCGCTGAGGTCACCCATTTGCAGCCTCTCTGGGTAAGCAACCATGGGCTCACCCCACATCCCCAGTCTTTCCTTGAAGTGACCCCAATTCAGCGTCCTTCCTTTCCTTGCAACTCTGCCCTCAATGACATGTAGGTGTCCCTGTAGGTGTCCCCAGTTACGCAAATAGGACCACGTGTGCCAGATAAAATCTTCCTCACTTTTCTCTAGTTCCTGACAGTTAGGCTACCCCAGAGGTGGATGGAACAAAGTGCCTCTGAATGCCTCTTTCTGTAAAGGGTGAGAGCCCTCCACAGCACCCAGGAACATCAAGATGGCAGGCACCCTCAGATGTCCACCCACAGACCCCAACGGATAATCTGGATCAAAGGGCCTTTCTTTAAGTTGACTTTCCAAGCTTGTGGCAGGGGAAGGAGGACCTCAGCCCTGTCTGCTCAGCAGGATCCCCAGCAATATGAATGCCTGTCACTGCAAAGAATTCCTCAGAAGGAAGGACATCTGGCCATCCAAACATCAGCTTCAGAGGGCCATGCGTGACGACAGGTGACACCCACTGTTCCTGTCAAACTTCTATCCTCAAGACCTAGCCTTTGCTCTGCTCTAGCTGTCGGTGACAATCAGGACTCTAAAAACATTAAGTAAAGCCCGTGGTCTCACCCAACTTCCATTCTCCCATCAGATTTCATGCTGACCTCTGAGCCAGCTCAGGCAGTAAAGAACTAGAGCAGCTCTTCCTTCAAAGACAAATTCAGTACAGACCAGGAAGGAACGGTGCCCCAGGCATCCACGCATTTCCTGAGGCCTCCACAGTGTACCCACACATGTGGGTCTGTCAAGGAAAGGGGAGTGGCCCCTCCCACCTGTCAAGTACTCCCTAGGGAGCTACTGGAGTGGTGACCAGACACCAAAGCAAAGGAGGTCGGAGGTGAAGGTAGCTGTTACCAGATATCATTCAGACCTGCCATATCCTGATAATGTCTGCCCTCACTTGGATGTGAGC